AAACATGTCTGATTGTGTTTTCAGCTTGCGCCATCCAAGACCTTCCTCTTTTCAGTCTGTGACCCTTAGATCTACCCAGGGCTTCATGCAGGAGGTGCTTCTTGTCTGCAGCTACTTTAAGATATGACTTTGCTTGCAAATATTTGAACCTGTCCGCAATAGTAGGCAGTGCAAGTATATATCTCTTGTACATCCCAGAATTACCAGCATGGCTTCATTCTGTATGTGTTCCAGTTTGGTCAGCTGACTATTTGATATGGTAAGCTTTCCAAGTCCATAATCTATCACCGACAGAATCACATGCTTGAATATTGTGAACAGCATTCTTTGTTCCATGTCCATTGCTGCCATAATCTTGAGAGAAATTAGTTATTTTTGGCATTTCACCGGAACTGCCTCCACGTAATCCCTATAGGACAGGCTTCTATCAAAAGTGATACCCAGGTACCTGGGTTTGCTTTCTCTTTTGATGTTACTGTTATTAACTGAGATGCTTGGAACATTAGCTCTTACAATTCTATTGTCCAGAGAGCACCACAAAACAGCCACCTTTTCTGAATTTATGACAGCACATATTTCTGCACACCGGTCAGTCACTCTACAGTTGCCTGTAGCTCTTGGGTTATCAGTTACCTATTACTCCCCTGCCTATATGCAAGAACATCATTAGCAAATGTCAATATACTTCCAACACCTGGTGCTTCAAGTTCTGCAATCTTGCTTGTATACACATTAAAGAGCACTGGTTAAATTGCAGAACTCTGGGGTAGTCCCGGGTGATATTACATTGTTCTGAGGTCCATGCACCCAGGCGAAGGGCAACCATACATGAATGCAGGACAGCTGCTTTCCAGTTCATCAGACAGGGACAAACCCCCTTCTCCATGAGTGCAGAAATCAAAATATCATACCTGACTCTATTTTAGGCACCCTCAAGATCAAGTGCTGCCACAACTGTCTCCTGTATGTTCTGGAACCCCTCATAAACATCTAATGCAAAAGTAGCTGCATTGGACCAGGTATCTTTCCGTGGCCGGTAACTACCCAAATCTTTTGGCAGCAGCTCTTCCTTTTCCAAAAACATTTGTAGTTTATCAGCAATAATCTTCGCTAGCACCTTGAAAAAAGTATTTTGTAGGGTGATAATCATGAAGCGGCAAGTTTTCATTCCTGTCAGAGGGTATCATAGGGGCCCCAGCGCTCTGGTTTTTTCAGGGGCTCATAAAGCTGATGAGATGGCCCTGATCAGTAACGCACTTTTTAATGCTGAGATAACCAGTTCAGTTCTAGCTGCAGGTGATTTGGCAGCAGACATGGCGGTTAAGTTTAGCAACAGTATCTAGAGCCAACCATTCAGTAAGCAATGGTATCGACAGACAACAGTTCAGTAAGCAATGGTATCGACAGACAACAGTTCAGTAAGCAATGGTATCGACAGACAACAGTTCAGTAAGCAATGGTATCGAGAGCCAACCGTTCAGTAAGCAATGGTATCGAGAGCCAACCGTTCAATAAGCAATTTTATCGAGAGCCAACCGTTCAGTAAGCAATGATATTGAGAGCCAACCGTTCAGTAAGCTATGGTATCGAGAGCCAACCGTTCAATAAGCAATTTTATCGAGAGCCAACCGTTCAGTAAGCAATGGTATTGAGAGCCAACCGTTCAGTAAGCAATGGTATACAGAGCCAACCGTTCAGTAAACAATGGTATTGAGAGCCAACCTTTCAGTAACCAATGGACCAAAGTGAGCCAACTGTTAAGTAATTAATGGACTAAGAAAGCCAACCATTCAGTAAGCAATGGGCCAAAGAGAGCCAACCATTCAGTAAGCAATGGACCAAAGAGAGCCAACTGTTCAGTAAGCAATGGAACAAAGAGAGCCAACCATTCAGTAAGCAATGGACCAAAGTGAGCCAACTGTTCAGTAAGCAATGGACCAAAGAGAGCCAACCGTTCAGTAAGCAATGGACCAAAGAGAGCCAACCGTTCAGTAAGCAATTGACCAAAGAGAGTCAACTGTTCAGTAAGCAATGGACCAAAGTGAGCCAACCGTTCAGTAAGCAATGTACCAAAGAGAGCCAAATGTTCAGTAAGCAATGGACAAAAGCGAGCCAACCATTCAGTAAGCAATGGACAAAAGCGAGCCAACCGTTCAGTTAGCAATGGACAAAAGCAAGCCAACCATTCAGTAAGCAATGGACCAAAGAGAGCCAACTGTTCAATAAGCAATGGACCAAAGTGAGCCAACCGTTCAGTAAGCAATGGACCAAAGAGAGCTAACCATTCAGTAAGCAATGGACTAAAGAGAGCCAACCGTGCAGTAAGCAATGGACCAAAGAGAGCCAAATGTTCAGTAAGCAATGGACAAAAGCGAGCCAACCATTCAGGAAGCAATGGACAAAAGCGAGCCAACTGATCAGTAAGCAATGGACAAAAGCAAGCCAACCGTTCAATAAGCAATGGACAAAAGAGAGCCAACTGTTCAATAAGCAATGAACCAAAGTGAGCCAACCGTTCAGTAAGCAATGGACAAAAGCAAACAGCCAAAACAAAAATGTTGGAACTGATTCTGCTATGTCCTGTAAAAGGTACACAACTACTTTAACATCCACAAATGATGATTGCCATTTAAGCATACAATAGTAACAAGAATATCAACAAAGACACACAAAAATTACAAAACTAGATAATTTAATTAATGAAGTGATAACATACAACCATACACAACCAATGAAGAAGATGAATAAAACTAGTGAATTTTCACAAATAATACAAGCAAGATTAATTTGTGAATTGATAACTCACAACCATAATCAATCAATAAAGAAAAAATAATGCAACTAGTGAATTAAATTTTGTAAGTGATTACTCAATTAAGAATTCCTAAACAACAGTAGTGAAATTAATTCATAAACTGATCAAACAATGAAGAAATTACTAATAATAAAACCAGTGAAATTAATTCATGAACAGATCAATCAATGAAGAAATTACTACTAATAAAACCAGTGAAATTAATTCATAAACAGATCAATCAATGATGAAATCACCCCAAAAAATATTAAAAATGAAATTAATTTAATAACTGATCGATTAATGAAGAATTCACACAAAATAATATCAGACGGATTAATCATAACATGATAAATCAATATTAAATTAAAAATAAATAATTCTAGTGAAATCAATTCTTGAATTAATAACACACAACTGTAATCAGCCAACAAAAACAATACAAATTAATCAGCTGAAATAATTATGTCAACTGTATGTTCATAATGAAAGGAAAATTGCACTATATGTAAGATGTAAGTTGAATTGACTATGGAAGCGGGCACTCAAAGTCATAAACATATAAGCTCACAACATAAATATTCCATAATATGCTTTTCCTGTCCCATTCAGTCTTATTATGGTCAGCAATTGAGCATTTCTTTCTTTAGCATTCTAGCAGCAGTCTTAATGCAAAACATATGTCATCATCATCATCATCAATTTAAACTTCTGCCGTTAAGCGCTGTGGGGAGGAATAGTATGTAATCTATTTCTTGAAGGGCAACATTTGCTACTGTCATTCCATGTTGACGCAGAAGCTCTTTAAGGCCATCAGTCATCTTCTCCTAGGGTGGTATTTTTCTTTCACTTCAGATCTTTGTCATGTGCAGCACCTGCTCTTGTAGTTGTTCTGGCTGCAGGCTTATGTATTTATCCATTTTAAGCCCAACTCTTTGGAATAGGAGGAGTTAAAGTAGTAGCTGCTTGACACTGAAAACCCTAAAATGGTGGTTGAGCCACTGTGTTGTAGTTTATGTAGTTTACAGCTAGGCAGTAACATCTGCATGTTTTGGCCCAAGACATCTGATTTAACCAACTCCTAATTAGCTGTCTTTTAGGACATGCTTATTAGGGGCAGTAGTTCTATTTCCCCCCCCCCCCCCCAATTGGATCATGGATTCGACACATGAATTTTAGCCTAGGCAAGTGTCCAGCCACTGTGTAACTGTAACATAACGACAAAAAAACACACATGACTAATACTCTCAATATCCTTCAGACACAACACTCATCCATCTGCTAGTTGTACCTGTAAAAAATGATATTATAGCTATTTGGTTATATTTGCTGCAGAGACATGTATATGTCGATACAATAATGTGAAACAACATATATACATATACTATACGCAAAATAAATAAATATCAAGCAAATATGGAACCGAGGAGTATAAGTGTCCTTGTAAAAGCAAGAAAATTGAATATATCTTAGAATGTATATTGATACAGAACAGATTTTTACAAAAATGTCATCCAAACAGAATACTCTTTTTATATAAAATCAAAGAGGGGAATCATATCCTTATAATATCATTAGCTTTCAGGATCAATAGTGACAATATATACACAGTAGTCCATCTGCTTACTGCTGACAGATCCAGGGTTCAAGTCCTTTTACATATTTGCCAGTACTATTATTTTCTTAGAGAGGCTAATTGACGTGGATGGGATGACCCTGCTAGTCCACAATCTGCAATCTGCAACAACATGCACCAGTTTGTGTGTTGACACCCCTCCATGCCATGACATGAGACTGTCAAGAATCTTCTGGTGTTTTCTTTCTCTGTCTCTGTTTTAACACATTTGTCGAGTGAGTAATTAACTCTTTCACCCCAGTGACCTAGAAAACAAAAAGTAGGGCTAAATCTGATTTCAGCTCAAAATATTACCGATCACCCTAACACTAGACCACTAAGTCAGCAAGCCATAGCACAAACCTTTACATCACTACAGCATTCATTTCCTCCCACATACAAATTAAAAAAAAAAAAAAGGGTTATGAAAGGCCAAAAGAAAATATACAAAAAGAAACAGAATAATAACACAAATTCTAGCGGAATGGTTGAGTGTAAGGCAAGGGCTGCTACACATTTCCATGTGACTGGAAATTACTCGTAACAATAATTTACATGTAAAATCAACATCAAAACAACACAGCACACAGACTACAATGGAGATGTGGCATTGTCCTCTGGAGGCCGGTCCTTGTATCTGTCCTGCCGGATTTTCATCAAGCGTTTTCTGGCGTTATTCAACTCTACCTCTTTTCTCAAAATCTCTTCTTGAGCTTGTATTTCCTGCAGAGATAAGATAATGCTGAGATAATGATTATCGCAAGGATGTTAATATAATTTTTTTTTTGTTTATTGTTATCTGTTTACCATTCATAAACAAAAAATGCTGAGTTAGTGATTAGGGCAAGGATGTTAATATAATATAATTTTGTTTTGTTCATTGTTATCACGTTAGCATTCATAAATCTGGCGAGGGCTGGGACTTGGACTTCTAGTAATTTCCCTTGGTCTCTGGGTAGTGAGATCGGACGCCTGTGTGCATTGTTTGGCACATAAAAACAAAAATCACTTAGCAGTTGAAAAGAGTAGCCTAATGGCGCTGCCCAGGCATAATTTGGAGTTAAAAATCTACCCATAGTATTTCAGGATCATTGCTGGTGCTACAGAGCCTGTGCACTGTGCTGAGCTTCTTTAGACTCAGACTCGAGTTATAAGAACAAAGCACTTATGGATTACACCCATGTGCCATGATGCTGATCCATTGTTAAAAACCTCAAAACCATTCATAAACAAGAAAAATCAAATCCTTTCTTCATTAACATTTATCAAATTTCTGGTGCTACTGAATTTATTTGTTAAAATCTGCTAATGGCTTAGAAGAGTTGAAGAGGTATTCTCGTTATACTATAGTCAGATCCCCGTGTGGGTTCTAGGGAACCCATTGTAGGGAAAACAAGAATAGACCCACTGCCTCCTTAACAAGCATGTCAAAAGTGTCAACTAACTTTAAAAAAGTCAGAGTGCATCTGCCTGAGAGGCAAGGAACCAACAGTCTGCATACAAATAAGTTAGATCTGTAAAATGGATGTGCTCTCAACACTCAGGTTCTGGAACATGTCCATAAAGTTCAGAAGTGGATGAACAACCAGAACTTTGGTTTTGAGTTTACAGCTGGTAAATGGAACAAAACAAAAAAAAAGAAGAAAACAATCAGGGTTTCTAAAAGTGTGTCCTATCCTTCATCAGCATTTTATTCTGACCTTCTGATTGAAAAGAATGCATTTAGTTCTCTCATTAAGCAGTGCATTTGTGATTATGCTTGCTAATCACTATGAAAAAAAAAAAAACATTAAAAAAACAAACATATAAAAAAAAAAATTTCTAATAAACAAAAAAAAACAGGACTGACAAAATTTGCAATATATTTGATTGACTTGTTGTGACAGGGATCAAGCACTTATGGATGTGTCAGAGATGTAAACAGAAGAATCTAATGACACCTCACCTGAAGAGACAAAGGAATGCACCACTGCCACACTCTTATCATAGTCCAACCTTCATAACTATCATACACACACACTATTGCCACACCCCCATCATTGGCATACCTGCACCACCACCTGACCCGTCCTCATCATTCTTCCCCACCCCCTCCAAACCACTGAAATACCCTCACCAATGTCCCACCCACATCACAGTACCCCCCCCCCAACCACTGCCACACCTGTACCACCACCGGCCCCGTCAACATCATTCCCCCCTACCCCTCTAAACACCCTCACAAATGCCACACCCCCATCACAGCACCCAAACCACTGCCACACCCAGCCAGGACTGACCTCAGCTATGCCTTCCACCATTCTCTTGTTGACGGTCAAGCTGGACTCATCATCCTGGTGTTCTCTGGTCTGTTGAGCTGCTCTCACCAGTGTCTCCGTTGCTCTCTTGACTGCATTTCCTGCTGCCTGAAAGGTGTCACCAAAGAAGTTATTACTGTATTTTTCTGTAAATTAGATTGACTGGCACCTTTCCGCCTTTCCAGAATGTTAAATTTCGCTATGAGGAGGCATGGGACTCACAGCCCATGGTGACGGCGGTGTGACTTGCATAACCCGCTCGCATTAAGAAAAGCCTTCCACAATTACAGCGTTGGGTTTCAGGATTGTTATCGTCAACATTTGTGTTTAGTCTGTTTCTTCTCAGCTCCCATCATTCCTGCAATCATTTCTTCCTTCGTTCTCATTCCCTTCCTGAAGTGCCCCCTCCACACAACATGGTCCATGGCATTTTGTTCCCACAAGTCCTCCTCAATACCTGAAAGTATACAGCTGTTTCTCCTGGTGCGAAAAAGTTGACCAAGTTTCACTCAGCAGAATGCGGAGAACATAAGCCTGAAGACAACTTTTTTTTAAATCATGAACTTTCTCCTCTCCCATACTCTTTCTGTTAATCTGCTCACTGTTGTTGCTGCCTTACCCATCCTGAAGACAATGGAGAGATAATGTCCAGAGAGACCTGCAAACACTTGATGATACCAACTGGAAAGAGAAGGCTAACCAGAGAGATCAGTGTAGGCAGTTGATATCTGCAGCAATGAACCTCAAGTGCTTGGAAAGCTGTAGAAGAAGATGAAGAAGAAACACTAAGAGGAAGATGTTTCTGAGCACAGTTTAAAAACAAACCAGAAGACACTTTCAACCAGCAAACACAAACCTGCAGTCTTTGCATGGCCTTGGAGCCTGGTTCAGCCTTGACCTTACAAGCCATCAAGAGTTGGGCGGTGGAGCCAGCGACCTCCTTAGCTGCGGCTATCAATCTCTCCTCACTGGCATGTCCCTGGACCATAGCATTTGCTGCCTCACACAGGCTATGTGTAGCAGCTGCAACCCTTCTTGCCTGGTCAAAGGAAATAAAGGAACATGCATAAACTGTATACGTAGAAAACATCAATCAAGTCCTAATAGTCTTAATTCTTTCAGTAGCAGAAAATTTTGTCAGAGATACCTACATCACTCACACTCACAATGTAAGAGCATGGGTCTGTATTTTCTAAAGAGGCAGCATTTACAGTGCTACATGTTACAATATCTGGCCAGTTTTTTGTAGTATGCAAAGTCAAAATTCAAATAATGCAATAACATATCATAATCAACAAAGACGTGATAGCTGAACACACACGGTCTGCTGTGTGGGACATAAAGAGTTGACTTTCATAAATGTTATAAATTCAAAACACTGTTTTACTGTAATGAATTTCAATAATATAGATATGATTAACATGTATAAAAGATTATATAGTATTTTTGAAACAGAAAATTTAATTTAAACAGAAGAATCTGTGGTAAATTATATACGGCACAGTAAACCACACGACATCCAGCATATAATGCTTACAGAGTGTTTCAAAAGTTGTGCCCTCACACTTTAACAAACATCTCAAAAACTCCTGTATGGATCAAGACAAATTTTTTTTCCATGTGGCCTTAGATTTACCATGTCCTTATGACTCTATAATTCACAACTGCGCAAATGCTGCTGTTTTCTTAAAGAGGCACATTTCTTTGATCTTTGACTAATTCAAACAAAGTCCACTAATTAGACTAAATTTCTGTATCCCTGAAAAAAGGATATACAGTAACGGACACATGTGGAGGTTGTTTGGAAAACAGTTCATTTATGGAGCGATGTGTGGTGATTACTTTGATAGCCTATTGCCCACTCAATGAAACATTCTAAACTCCTGAGAGTAAAACACCTACGACACACGTGCAATTTGATGTTTTGAAAAGTTCCCCTTACTCACTTTACTCAAGTTACTGTTAGCATGCTGACTCTTTGCTACCAATTGGTGTCTGTTTCTTCATATACCGCAAATATGGCAAAATAAAAATTATGATGACAATGATAACAACAATGATGATGATAATAATGATGATAATAATGATGATAATAATGATGATAATAATGATGATGGTAATGATGATGATGACAATAATGATGATGACAATGATGATGATAATGATGATGATAATGAAAAAATGCACAAACTAACAGCTGAGATAAGACCCTGAGACCACTGGCCATCATCATCAACAGAATGCTGGGTATAAGTTGAGCCCACTTTCCCCTGGGCCACAAGCTCCCTCTGTGCTGCAGAAGCTGACTTCACCAGAGCTGCAGTTGCTGCTGCGATAGATCGGGCAGCTTCTAAGATTTGATCTTCAAAGTCTAGGTTTTCATCTGCTCTCTGAAATACAATACAGGACAAGTCCAAGTATGAGACATGTGAAATCTTCTTAATCTTCTTCTTCTGTTGTTCACTTGAAATTGATTATCTATATCTGCAGTGTGTTGTCTCTAGTATGAACTTTTCTGCCATTTTTAATTCACTCAGTGACCCCCCCCCCCCCCCCCCCCCCTTTTTTTTTCCCCCAACAAGCTGGTTACAAAAGTCAAAAGTCAACTAATTAGCGGTGCGTTCTGTTAAGTCAGAGTGCATCTGCCTGAGGCGAGGAACCAACAGCCTGCTTTAAAAAAACCGCCAGATTTGCAAAACGGATGTTCTGGATCAAGATTAAAGTCCAGAAGTGAATGATCTACCAGGGCTGGGATTTTTTCACATGGACTTGGACTTCTTGTAATTTTCCCCTGGTCTCTGGGTAGTGAGATTAGACGCCCGTGTGCATTGTTGGCAGTTGGAAATTGAAAAAGAGTAGCCTAATGGCGCTGCACAGCAACATTTGGAGTTAAAAATCTTACCCTGACAACAATCAGGATCCTCGCTGGTGATACAGAGCTTGTGCACTGTGATGAGCTTCTTCGGACTCACACTTGAGTTAAAAGAAGAATGGAGCACTTATGAGTTACTACTCGTGTGCCATGATGTTGATTCATCGTTGAAACAAATCAAACAAACCCAAAAGAACCCAGACAATCTTCGTCTGCTGTGGGTCAACAGTTATCTGTGAAAGGTAATTGCACTTTTTGATCTGACCCTACTTGTTCTGATCCTTCTCACAGAAAACCATAAATCTGTGGTTCAACAGACAGGCAACTGTCAGCTCACAGGAACTAAGGAGCGGTGCCACTGGTTTCATAACACAGTATGCTTTGACTGTAAAGTCCCATGCTGGAGTAGTAATCTCTGCAGACTTCATAACAAATGTTGATACTTCTACTAAGGCTGGCTTTCTCTCAGACGTCTCCACTCCGTAGATTGCTGCATTAGGCTTCTTGCAAACTGCAACAGTCCATTTGTCACTGTCTGCCCCCAAAGGAGTCTGTCTGCAGCTGATCTCTCTCAAGTATCTGTGTCATTGCTGGATACTTTAGGTCATGTTTACAAAGTCCTTGTAATGTACTCCTAGCCTTCCTGTAGATCTTTTCCCTATTTTCAGTTTACAATAAAGCAGATCCTTTGAAATGTGACTGTCCTCCGTGATAGGAGATATGACCCGATCAGTGCAGTCATTTTAATTTCAGTAAAAAGCACACCGTTGGTTGTAAACAGCTCTTAAAACTGAAGTGACGCTGACCACATTACACATGGCGACTGGTCTTTAAAAATATGGTTCAAACATCATATGCCTTATGCAGCTCCAGCAACAACAAAAAATGTCCTCTACTAGATTTTACAAACTGTAAAACTGTTGAAAACTTTAATTACTGCCTTCATTAACCACTTCTTTTTATACATGATAAAGCAGAAGTGGTTAGTGCCTTGTGAGAGAGCGTGTACAGTTCGGAGGAGCAGATGGATCACCACAGTCTGGTGAGATTGATGCAGGGGGGAGTGACGGGAGGTTCTGGCAGATGCTCGAGGCTCAGAGGAAAGGCAAGACGGACGTTTAAGCAGAATGCTACTGGCACCATAAGTATTGGAACTCTTCGCTGGCTGCTGAAGATGTGGATGGAGCGCTTATGGGAATGCCCCGAGTGCTGTGATGTCGGTTCTTGAATGTAATCAAATCAATCAAATCATTCTAATGGATTTTTTTTTGAGCGAGAGGATTTAGGGCTGCATGACTGGTGTAGTTGCCACAAACTGTGCATGTTAGGATTGTAATTTGTACACCCTGTTCCTCTCTTAACTTATTTACAGCATTTTAAAACTCCCTCACCTCAGCTGACAAAAAATAGTAATCACTAATAATAATGAAAAATAAAACCACAACAATAAACACCACAGGTCACAAATATGGCCGACAGACAGCAAGACAACAAGATCAGCGACAGCAGGAAGCAGTCACATCCAGCCGCTGTTGTGACATGTCTGATAATTGGTGAATCTACAAATACCACCAAATATATCAAACATATCTGACAGTGGCTGGGCTAGTCTACGCTGGCAGGGGAGGGTATCACACGAGGCGGGCTAGCTACAGGCTACAAGCTGTGACACTTGAAACAATGATGGAATTTAGGCAAACGCTACCTGCTACATCTTATAATCATTATGTTAAGTTGTCAGTTATAGGAAAATAAGCATTGCACTACAGCAGGGCTATTCAACTCAGTGGCCACAATGTTGAAAATAGAGATCCTCATTGGCCAGAGGCCAGAACGCTAACGTAAAAAACAGTATTAACACAACTGGCAAAAACCCATAGGCCATTTTCTAGGGTTCAGCAGGTCGGATTCTGCCAGCAAGTAAGTCCTCAGTTGAATAGCCCGGCACTACAATAGACAATATGTTGAAACAATATTTTCCCCTTGTGAATTTAAAGTAAATAATGAGGTTAAAAACAATGTACTGGACAATTTATTGCTGTGACTTGTGGATATCAGTTCAAAAGGGATTATAGTTTCAGCTTCATTATTTGCTGATGTAGAGGAGTGGCTGGCCCGATTGGTTAGAGCCCTAGGCTCTCATACAAGAGACCCAGATTTGATCCTAGATCCATAAAAGTAAAAGGACCCCTTTTCCATGCCTTGGGGTGTATTGGGCATATAGTGCTAGAACAATATTTGTACAGGCCAATCGGCACAAGGTCCTAGGTAAGTGATGTGATCAACATCACGCCGACCACCTTTACTTCACAGAACTTTACCTGGCACCTATTTAAGACTGAGTCTAACCGGGAGCCAAGCTCGTTTAAGAAGAAAAGTCTGGCTCCATTCAGACTTGAGCATAGGCCCTTTGGAGCAACAGTATGATTTTCTCCAGGTC